TAGAATTGAAGAACTGCCATACAAGTGAATGGGGACAAGACCAGAGACAACAAAATAACAAATTTCCAACCCAAATCAAGTGGGACCTGGCTGCAATGACACTGTTCAACCTTGAAGGCGTTTTATCTCTCTTACATATTTCACTCAGCAGCTAGTTGAAGAGTTTCTGGTAAAATGCATGTTCACCTATCAAGTCTTGGGCCTCTTCATTGTAGTTAGCTCCTTGGAAGTGCCAGGTGGTTCCAGACTTTGAAAACTGTGTGAAGTTTAAGTCTTGGTTTGACATATGTCAGACGAAGGCTTCTGGTTTGCGTCAGAGTTCTAGTTTTCACATATAAAAACTGCTTAAAATTGGTTTGCTAGGATAATGCTGTAGTTAATTAGGATAAGCGATAGGACAGTTGCCAAATGATTCTCTGCTTGTTTCTAGGTAGCGTTCCTTATTGAAGGAATAAAAATATGCTAATGCTTTGGAAGGGCAGTCCCCTCAAAATGAAATGTATTTGTTTGCTTGTGCAAGACTTTATACCTCCCTTCTCATCAGAAGGCAGTCCTAGGCATTTTAATCCACTATTTATGGAAAACACATTGATTTTAAAACCAGTTCACCTGTCATTTGGTTTCCCAGTTAGCAAGAACTGCTCCAGCACTTCCATTTTACCTGTTAGCACTCACCTTTGAAATCCCTAAGTCACTCCAATAATGGCAGGTCACATCTCACATTTCTGGCCTGGGCAGGCCTCTGAAGCCTTACTAACTCGCCCTTCCCCTTGCCCAAGGTAGGTGCAGCTTTTTGGTGCTTACACAGACCCCACTGAATCCTGAGACAGTGGCCTCACAGCACTTACACAAGTGCTCGTCTAAGATAAGATAGAACTATTCTTAGTGCGACTACCTGCTTATCTGATTGTCTTCCTCATCAGATTAGCTCCCCAAGGACTGAGTTGATCCCAGAACCCACCCTAGTGTCTGGCATGGGGATGTTCAATACAAAGTAAACCCGTGACTGGCAGACTCTTTTAAAGAGATACATAAGGAAAAATGTAATGTCCAGGAGGAGGAGGTAGGCCTTTGGATGCCATTTAAAGTATGTATTTTTAAAAATGTGTAATGTTGGAAATAAGTTGTGAAAGTGCTGATTGGAATTTTAATCTAGATATAAAAAAATTAAAGAGATGTTAAAGTATGTTTCGGTAATAAGACTGTGAGGGACATCTTTTTCTATATACTATTTTATAGTTTCAGAGAAAAAGTGAATGGTTGAGAGGTAGATGACCAATGGTATTCTTATTTCTTTGTCCTTTGTGGTTCGTTGTGAATGCCAAGTACAAATTTGATTTGCCTTTAATACAGACGGTTTTGTTGTTCATATGTTTTAGTGTATGCCTCTTGTGATAAAAATGTAAGTTGCTGCTGGGTGAATGTAGTATCAGTTTTTAAGACAGGAACTCTTGAAGGAAGACCTGGTTTGGTGGGGAAAATTCAGGAGTGGTATTTTGTTCCTATTAAGTCTAAGATGCCTCCTAGACAGACATCCAAGTATGATCATTTCAGAATGAAGGAATTTCTAATGGATAGTTTCTTGCAGCTGTAGCTTATATTGGATGAACAATTGTATAAGTTCTGTGAAGTCATGGTCTCTGGATGCTGTGGGGTCTATGTAAGCACCAAGAAGCTGCACCTAACTCGAGCAAGGAGAAGAGTCAGTCAGTAAGGGCTCAGAGGCCTGCCCTGCCCTGCCCAGAGTGGTGAGGTACTCAGATCTGCCACTACTGTAGTACTTGGAGGATTTAAAGGGTAAATGGCAGGAGAAATAGGCACTTGTCAAACTCCACACCTTCCTGCTTTCCAAGCCTGTTCACCGTGCCCTCTGAAACTCACAGTCCACCGAGTGGACTCTCTTAGTTCTCTGCTCTGAACAGCCTCTTTGCTTGGCTCTCTCAGTGGCACCATCATCCTCCCCTGCACCCTCCCAGGTAGAAGCAGAGTCCTTTTCCTTCTTACTGTAGGCCAGGTACTCTGCAAGAGAGTACCTGCTTCATCACTATGATACATCAGGACAATGTCATAAGTTAAGCATCCACTATAGAGACAGAGGAACATCATGCAAAGCAGCCATGGTTTGCCGTGGTTGTTGTTAGTTTGTTTCATTTTGTTTTGTTTTGTTTTTATAAACTACTGGTGCTTTAACTTCACTTCCTGACTGGATGAGGCTTTTAGCAGTGCTACAGGAGCCTTTTGTTGTTAAAGCAAATCATCTCCCAGCAATGGAATCTCGCTGATTGCTGACCCTACATTCGATTCTCCCAGACCCACTTCTTCCTGTCCCTTCTTCTGAGGGGCGGGGGGAGAGTTTCATATAAGATGCATGCCAACAAAATCTTGTTGCTCAGCTCTAGAAGACTTTATGTGCAAGACCTTCCAAATTAACTCTAGGGAACCCCAGGAAATGGTCCAGCTACATACAAACGCTTCTTCCCCATGGGCCCTCAAGGAGCTCTGAGACCACTAGTAAACACAGATTTTTGCTTTTAGATCCTTAATTTGACTTGGGAACTTTGATATCCCTTAGTCATTGATACGTTTTCAGACAATTTTAGTAATTTGGCTAGTCCCATCCTCTGCTTGTTATTTCTTTCTAATCTCACTCATGAAGGAAAACCCATGGTGATGGATCCACTTTTCATCACATGACCACCACACACTCACTAGGCTGCCCAGAGATAAGAACCAGAAGGAGAGCACAAGAGGCTCTTACGTTTACCCAACAGGTACTCCTTGACAACACTAGAGGAAATTGTTAGCAAGGATTGTTTGTAGTAGTTGGCTTCTTAGAAAACTGTAGTGTCACTTAGCCTCTTGGCCCAATTTTTTAACCTATAAAAGGAGATTGATAACTGGACTACCTTGTCAGGTTGTAGGATATCTGTCCTAGCAGTCAACAGATACTTAAAAATTGGAGATGGGGGAAGAAACTTTGAAATTATTCGAGGTCGCTAAACATATTACTTCCAAATCTGTTTTCTTCATGAAGACTCTTGGAGTCTCCATTTTCCTCACTGTTGAAATGAGGATTATACTCTTCCTGAGCATCTTCCTACTCTGGCAGTAGTCTTCTAAAACAGAAATGAAGGAAAAAGTGAACATATTCCATGAAGATGAATTGAACTAATAGATCTCAGATTTTCTTGAGGATAAGAAGGAAGAAGAACACCTGAGATGTTGTCCCTGCAGTCTCTCCTAGGGTGGTGTCCTCAGTCTGCATTTTTAACACAAGCTTTGGGGGATGCTGGCACAGGTGACAGTAAGTTACACCTTGAGAAATGCTAAAATCAACTTCAAAAATGCAAGTCAGGTCTGGTACTGAAGTTTCCATTCTAGATGTGGACCAAATTTTTCCTTCCACCTCAAGGTTTCCAGGAAGAAAAGGCTCCAGGTTAAGCATGACCTATGTGAGTAGGAGTGACCTGAAATGTGCTTTGAGGGTGTGTCTCATGGTATCAGTGGCCACCATTGAAGCCTGGCTGGGGAGGGGGGGTGGATAGGGGAACCAGTGGCTTTATGGATCGTTCTATTGGCAGTAGCTTAAATATGCTAAGACATTATAGTTTTTAAAATTTTCTTTCTGTTGGAACTCTGACCTCCATCCTCCCCACCCCCAATAAAAATGCCTCCCTTGTCTCTCTTCAGGCTGCCTCTGCCCTTGAAAAACTTGCCACTTCCAGGAATAGGGTGGCCTTGCTTGACAAGTCTTGACCTGTTTGAGAAGATGGGCAGATGAGAGAGTTGGCGAGATAGCAGTGGATCTGGGCAGGGAGGAGAAACTTAAATACAAACGCAAGTAGGAAAAGAGGAATAAAAATAAGGCAAAAGACCTCCAGAGCCAAGTGTTTGGAACAGCTTTGGACGTTTCCGTTTCATTTTGATCTTCCCAGATTTGAAGTCTTGTTAAAGAAGTCTTATTGTGGCAGCAGGTTTGTCTTTTCTGCTGTTGAAACTGTAAACATTTCAGTATGAGTGCCTTGTGAATAAGCAGCTTCCAGTCATTCACTTTCTGGAAGCACAGACCCAACTCCTGGGTGGGATGAGCCATGGAGAGAAGCAGCTTATATACCAAGAGTCACTTCCCTGGAGGGTGACTTATAAAAGATGCCTTTTTAGATTCAGAAAGCACAAAATGTAATCATGTCTATTTATAAGCTAATCCACTATCTAAATAGGGTAAAATAAAAATAAGCTAGTATATGATCTTGTGCAACTTAAATTTCAGTGTTTTAAATTCTGTCTCTAAGCGTTTTTCTCTCTCTGCACTTAGAGAAAAAGCTCTTTTATTTCTTCATCACAGGGCAGCCGCAGGGCTCCTTCTCCTGCTGTGTTCTGTCTTTTCTCAGGTTCTCTGCTTTTATACAGAGGAAAAGTGCTAATTACTGGCTTAAACTTAGTTCTGGACTCTAGCACTCTGTACCCCTCCTTTCTAACTTCTTAAAGGGCACAAGTCCCCCTTTTTTTTTTAACATGGAAAAACACCTTGGGACAAAATATAATGTTTTCAACAAAGTTGCGGTTTTCTTCTTGGACTATAAAGGAAATTCTCCAATTAGTACTATTTTACTAGAATATTTAAGATTAAATGTAAACTGTGTTTCAGAAAAAGATCTGGTTGGCCCAAAGAAACATCATTAGTGATACCTGTGTTGACTTTTTTAGTATGAGACTATGTATTAATATTATAGGCTGGGCATGGTGGCTCATGCCTATAATCCCAGCACTTTGGGAGGTGGAGGTGAAAGGATTGCCTGAGCCCAGAGCAACATGGAGACCTCATCTCTACAATAAATCAAGAAAACTAGCTGGGCATGGTGGCGCACACATATAGTTTCAGCAACTTGAAAGGCTGAGACGGAAGGATCACCTGAGCCCAGCAGGTCTAGGCTGCAGTGGCCATGAGTGTGCCACTGCACTCCAGCTTGAGCAACAGAGTGAGACTTCAACTCAAAAAAAAAAATTAGGCAGTTTTCCTCAGCTTTGGGTGGTGGCCACTGCCGCGCTTCGGCTTCCAGTCCGCGGAGGGCGAGGCGGCGTGGACAGCGGCCTCGGCATCCCGCGCGCCCCGCCGCCTGCAGCTGCGCCCCCGCTCGCCGCGCCCCGAGCTCGCCGCCTCCCGTTCCAGCGCCCGGCGCCGCCGCCGCCGCGGCCCAGCGAGCGGCCCAGATGCAGGCCATCAAGTGTGTGGTGGTCGGAGACGGAGCTGTAGGTAAAACTTGTCTACTGATCAGTTATACAACCAATGCATTTCCTGGAGAGTATATTCCTACTGTCTTTGACAATTATTCTGCCAATGTTATGGTAGATGGAAAACCGGTGAATCTGGGCTTATGGGATACAGCTGGACAAGAAGATTATGACAGATTACGCCCCCTATCCTATCCGCAAACAGATGTATTCCTAATTTGTTTTTCCCTTGTGAGTCCTGCATCATTTGAAAATGTCTGTGCAAAGTGGTATCCCGAAGTGCGGCACCATTGTCCCAACACTCCCATCATCCTGGTGGGAACTAAACTTGATCTTAGGGATGATAAAGACACGATTGAGAAACTAAAGGAGAAGAAGCTGACCCCCATCACCTATCCACAGGGTTTAGCCATGGCTAAGGAGATTGGTGCTGTAAAATACCTGGAGTGCTCTGCTCTCACACAGCGAGGCCTCAAGACAGTGTTTGCCGAAGCTATCAGAGCAGTTCTCTGCCCACCTCCCGTGAAGAAGAGGAAGAGAAAATGCCTGTTGTTGTAAATGTCCGAGCCCCTTGTTCTTGATCATGTCCCTTGGAACCTTTGTACGCTTTGCTCAAAAAACAGTGGAGCCTTCGCACTCAATGCCAAGTTTTTGTTACAGATTAATTTTTCCATAAAACCATTTTGAACCAATCAGTAATTTCAAGGTTTTGTTTGTTCTAAATGTAAGAGTTCCGACTCAGTCTATTAAAATTTAGCCCTAAAAAAAAAAAAATTACAACAAACGGTATACATTTAGTGCAAGAGAAAAAAATGATTACACCAAGCCTTCTTGGGTAATGCTTTAATACTCTAGAATGAGGGACAAAGATTGGTTTTAACAGGTAGATGTATTTTATTCAGGAAATTGCTTTATATTGCTTTGTTTTGCTTCCCTAAATTTATTATTGCTGACCCTGAAGGTATAAACCCAGGAGAATTAGAGTTAGGGAATTATAGAACATTTAAAACCCACAGCAAGTGGTCAGTATCTGTGCCTGCCTCATCCACAGCTGAAGTCCATTCCATGTGTGATAAATATGAACTTTCTCCTTTGTGGGCATCTTGGTAGAAATAATTACTAGTTCCTGCCATATTCTCACATGTTCATAGAACATTATCATCAATAAAATGTATATACTAAAACAGGTAGTTGATTCTTCATGACCAAGCTCAAGCAACATTCCCTCATGAATGCTTTCCTGCCGGGCTTGGTGGCTCAGCCTGTAATTCCGCGCCTTTGGGAGGCTGAGGTGAGTGGATTGCCTGAGCCCGCGGGTTAGAGACCTGCCTGGGCAACTTGGCAAGACCTCATCTCTACAATAAATCAAAAACCAGCTGGGCGTGGTAGCGCGTGCCTGTAGTTCCAGCTACTTGGAAGGCTGAGGTGGATCGCCAGAGCCCAGCAGGTTGAGGCTGTGGTGGCCGGGAGCGGCCACTGCACTCCAGTCTGGGCGACAGAGTGAGATTCCAACTCAAAAAAAAAAAAAGAATGCTTTCCTGACCTCCATTACCTCTAAGCTCTCAAGTACTAGTTCCAGCACAGTTTTACTTTACAAATCCAGATAATTCTGTAAGTTACCTGAGGGTAGCCAATAAATATTGGCTCCCAGTTTCAGCTCCTGCACATAGGCATGCAATAAAAACTTGTTGAATGAATTTTTAAAAATTATTGCACGTCTGAAGTTGATGCCATCAATTCATAAGGAAACTCAGATATCAAAGGAAAGAATACTGAGAATAAAAGTTACTTGATCATATCATCCCTTATAACTTTTAGAGAAACCCACAAGCCAGAAGGAAAGACCAGACTGAGTAAGTTCTTAATAATTTTCATCCAGCCCATGTTTCCACTTTCTGGACATTGCAGTTTTATGCTGTAGAGTTAGGATTGAGACATTAATAAATCAAATCAAAAGTCCCAAAGAACAGCTCATTAGGAAGTCAAACTGCTTTCTTCATATTCAGTAGAGTAACTTGCATCTCATGATTCTATAAAGAAGCATCAACCTGGCATTTTTACTTTGCTAGCCAGTGGTTACCTTCACATTACAACAGAGGTACTTTCAACACACCTCATGCAAAAAATCTGGATTTTTAAAGCAGCAACAGCAAAAAAAAAAAAAAAAAAAAAAAGAGGGAGGAGTTATATGTGATAGAATCTTCTAGAAAAAAACCATCCTTCCCCAGCTGCATCTTAGACCTGTTAACTTTCATTATTTGCCTGCTGAATGATAAAATGAACAAGTCTATTATATAAAGCTATGTGTATTCTAAATATATGTATTCTTCATCAGCTCAAAGTTGTGGCTAATTTCTGGCATCCTTTGCTTGGCAGATGAAGTATAGAAAGACAAGCAAAGGACATTAATGAAGGAAAAAGTTCCTTTAATTACAAGCCTTCTAACCTGATTCAAAGCATCATAACTTTACTATATAAACTACAGACAAGCTGATCTTACTTATGGGCACAGAGACATAGGAAGGGGAATTAGGGAATAGACTTTTCTTATGGATCCAAAACAGAGGCCCAGGGATGTAGCTGGGAGATGCTGCTAAAATAACTGCTCTCGGATGTTTTGACCTTGGTCATGCTTTCTGTGCATTTTTCACCACTTATGTGGCCAGCCACCACTCAATCTCTACTCAGCTACAGAGACACTTAGAGGTTTATAATGTGACTTGAAAGCCTTTCCTGGCCAGGTGTGGTAGCTCTCACCTGTAATCCCAGCACTTGGGGAGATAGAGGTGAGAGGATGGCCTGAGTCCAAGGATTCGAGACCAGCCTGGGCAACTTGGCGAGACCTCAACTCTACATTAATTCCAAAAATTAGCCAGGCGAAGGTTGAGGCAGAAGGGTCGCCTGAGCCCAGCAGGTTGAGGCTGTGATGCCACTGCACTCCAGCAAATATGTCTTAGGGTCTGCAGCAGAACCACCTTTTGATTGAGAGTTTTATGGGAGGACAATGAGATCTAAATGGCTGATTTCATTTCAGATTATTTTTATATCTGAAAAATGATCACATTAAAGAAAGTTTGTGCAAATGTTTTCACCTGCTTGTCTTGGTGGGAAGCAGATGACTGTGTCCCAGAGAAAATGAGCTGTTAGACTATAGGTATGTTGTGAAAGCAGCACCATCTGCTGGGCCTCAGACCCATGTGGTATCAGAGGGTCCAGAATCAGCTGCAGTCCATTATTCTAGATGATTTTAACTTAGTGGGGAGAGGCTAGGAGACTATGGCTAGGAACACGTGGCAGGTGACTCTGGTGCAGGTAGCAAAAAAGTCTTTGTTGTTCAGTTATGTCCTCTACATAATACTCCAGGCAAAGCCTTTAGAGTGCAATAGGTGAGACCGTGGCACACTTTGTCTCATTCTTGTGTTCAGAATGCCTTTTTGGAGATAGTTTTTGATGTGTTAAGTGCAGCTTCTAAATCTCTGACCTTCCGAGGTTGGCTAGGAAACCTTGGTTGTACTAGGCTGTGGTGGAAGTTCCACTTCCGGCTACTGGTTTAATTTTCCTTCCAACATAAAATACTTTTGAAATTTAAAAATAGTTCTTACTAATTTGTATTGGTCAAGGGTAAAAGAATTGAGAGGGGAAATATAGTGAAAGTAATAGTAAATAGTAGCTAAGAGTTGAAGTACCGAGAGCTGACCAAGCACCTTTGGAGGGTAAGTACTGTTAAAATATCATGTAGCACTAGACTTACCAAAAAAGTCTGTGACAGCAGGTGTCCAGGCCCACCCAGGGTCTGCTTGCTTCAGGCAGTATTCTAAGAGAAAAAAAAAGTTTTTTTTTTTAAGTTTATCTTATTTTAATAGGCTCTATGTTTACATCTGATTTTGATATCAGTAATTGCCAAGAATATGACACTTAGAGATGCAGATATGGTTTATATATTTTTATAAGTGTTAATAATTATAAGGGGAGACCCCAAAAAAACCCCAGAATTTATTTACAAAAAGTTGTTTATTTATTCTTACATGTTTAAAACATTCATCTTCAAAGTACTGTCTGTTTGATGCAATACACATATTGAGATGCTTTTTCCACTGCTCAGAACAGTTTTTGAACTCATCAGTTGTGATGCCTTTTAGTGCTTTTGCTGTTATTTGTTTCACCTCTTCCACATCAGCAAAATGTTTCCTTTTGAGGACTTTTTTCACCTAGGGAAACAAGAAAAAGTCGTGCAGGGTGAGATCAGGTGAATAGGAAGTGTGGGACATGGGAGTCATCCCGTTTTTGGTCAAAACTGCTGAACACTCAGGGTCAGGTGCACTCATAAACCACTCATAATGAAATGGGAAAACGCATTGAAAGAATCTCAAAAAAAAAAAAAAAATCACTGAAGCTGAATGCAGCCTCTCGCAACAACACGGATGCCGATGGGTTCCTAGAACACTTATCTATTGGAAGAATCCTGTAGTAACAGGGGCCTGCCCTCCAAAAAATAATTCTGGGTGTTTTGGGGTCCCCTCATGTATATATAACTTTCTGGTTTATGAAACACACAGTTATTTTACACTGCAACTTTGCAAGGAAGACAGAGCAAATATTGTTATCCCCTTTTTTCAGATGATAAAATTGATGTGGCGACTTTTGGCTTTCACACGTGTGCTGGTACTCTTTCTTTCTCCACTAGCCCTGCGCTACATCATGTCTGTATAATATTCACACTAGACCAACCATGTTTTTTAAAAAGCAGGTCAGACCTGGAACTTTTGTCTTAAGTACACACAATTAGCCTTTAGCCAGTGAATGACTGGCTAATGTTTTATTAAGATGTGTATTTAATGTATTCAGTTTCTGAAATTGGTAATCTTGCTGGAGCAGCAGTGGAACTTAAGTGCAGCTTCTAAGTCTGCGCACGGTACCTTCAGTAGCTTTGAGTAAATGGACCTGAGAAGAACTGGGCATCTTTCTGGCCCTCTGAGGTTGACTGGGAAGCCTCAGTGGTACTAGGCTATAGCGCAGGTTCCAGAGGCTGGCACCAGAGGGCATCTTTTGAGTGTTTGTGAGAATGACAACCAGCAAAATGCTTCAACCAATCTTAAGAGCTTTAAGGAAGCTCTACGGAAGCAAGGACCAAAACATAACAGGGCTGTATGTGTATTGTTTTGGCCAACACCTTGAATTGCTCTTTTCAGATTGACAGGATGCAGAGTTGCATCAAAGAAAGTTGCTCTCAGGGCCTTAAAGGGTAGCTTTTTGTATGTTGGCCCCATCGCTGCCACATAGTTGGCATAGATACATAGGACGGCAGAGGCTTCTGTCCTAGATATAGGAGGCATAATTAAAAGGAAAAACCTCTCACTGGTGGCCAAAAATTAACACGTACTTTGTTCCACATTCTCCAAGCTCTACCAGCATTAGCTTTTTAACTCATATTGAAGAATAGCCTCATTAGTTGTCTCCAAGCTCTCAAATTTGTCAGACATTGCATCCATTCCATCATGTAGGCGTTTACAGTTCCTGGTGTATGCCAGGCCCTGGGGATGAAGGAATGAATCTCACAGTCGAGGGGAGGTAGACATACATGAATAAGTAAATACTGTGAGCATGAGCAAGTGTGTGTGCCATGCTGGGTAAAAGCCATCTGAGGAACAGTAGTGTCAAAGTGTGTGATCTGCAAGGCTTGGACAGAACCTGT